TTAACTCCTCACTGCTTTGCAATCAAAACAGCTCCTGTCTCCACTGATAGAACTGTGTCTATCGGGTGGAGGGACACCTAAGCTGGCTAGTTAAAAGTGTTTTCCCTTGAAAGGGCCTGAAAACACAATGGCAAATTCTTACTCCCTCTCTCACATCCACAAGACAGGATCTCTCACCTAACATGTTCTTTAAATCAGATCACAGTTTAATCTGTTAACTAACAGCTGTGTTTTGTTTGTTTATTACTTCGTATTGGACTTTACAATGTGTTCATTTCTGCTTACAGCACAGTCAATCAGCTGTATGTACACATATATCGTCTCTTTTTTAGATTTCCCTCCCATTTAGATCACCATAGAGCCCTGAGTAAAGTTCCCTGTGTGGTACAGTAGGTTCTCATTAGTTATCTATTGTATACAAAGTATCAATAGTGTATATATGTTGATCCCAGCCTCCCAATTCATCCCATCCACCCTCTTACTCTTTGGTATCCATGTTTGTTTTCTATGTCTGTCTCTATTTTTGCTTTGCAAATAAGATCATCTACACCATTTTTCTAGATTCCACATATATGTGTTAATATATGATATTGATTTTTCTCTTTCTGACTTCACTCTGTATGGCAGTTTCTAGGTCCATCCAAGTCTCTGCAAATAGCAGAATTTCATTCCTTTTTATGGCTGAGTAATATTCCATTGTATTATATTATATGGATCACACCGTCTTTATCCGTTTATCTGTCGATGTACATTTAGATTGCTTCCATATCATGGCTATTGCAAAAAGTGCTGCAGTGAACATTGGGGTGCATGTATCTTTTTGAATTATGGTTTTCTCCAAGTATGTGCCTAGGAGTGAGATTTCTGGGTCATATGGTAGTTCTAATTTTAGTTTTTAAAGGAATCTTCATGCTGTTCCCCCATCGTGTCTGAACCAGTTTACATTCCTCCCAACTTTTGTAAGAGGGTTCCATTTTCTCCGCACCCTCTCCAGCATTTATTGTTTGTAGACTTTTTGATGATGGCCATTCTGACTAATGTGAGGTGATACCTCATTAACAGCTGTCTTTTCCTCACATTTTTCATGCCAGTTGGACTTGAGGCTTTCCAGATTTCTTAAGCAAACATTCCCCTACCCTCTCCTTCCTGCTACATATTGTTAATCTCATCTACTATTCAGGTACTATATTTTTAATTTTCTAATGAATGTTTTCCTCTTATTATAAAAGCAATACCTTTTTGGTACAGAGGAAAAACAACACTTAAAATACACATTACCAAAAAATCTCCAAATCCCATCACCTTGAATTAACCGATGTTAATTCTTGCTGTATACCCTTTAAGAACAACTTTTCTGTAAAGCAATTATCCTTCAATAAAAAATAAATTAATTTTTAAAAAAAGAACAACTTTTTTACTTATATGTATGGGTGTGTGTAAGTTTGACAAAATAGCTTACCTTGAATATATTTTTAAATCTTTTTTTTCCCTGACTAATCTTTTATGGAGTGCATTTTGTTGAGTCATGTATTTCTTGTTTAATTTGTTGGATTTTGATTAAAGAACAAATACCCAAAAATGGAATGACTTGTAAAGTGAGATAAAAAGATTTGCTAAAAAAGTTTAAATTGAAGCTGGATAACAGTTTACTAGATATGGTTTATCAAAGGAAAGTTGAATGTCTAAAGTAAAGGATTCACCATAATCTCTGTTGTCTAGCATGTCTGGCTTATAATGGTGATGGTTGTGGTTTAGTTGCTAAGTCGTGTCTGACTCTTGCGACCCCATGGACTGTAGCCTGCCAGGCTCCTCTGTCCATGGATTCTCCAGGCAAGAATACGGAAGTGGGTTACCATTTCCTTCTCCAGGGGATCTTCCTGACCTGGGAATCAAACCTGGGTCTCCTGCATTGTAGGCAAATTCTTTACCAACTGAGCTACAAGTTATAGTAGATTACATTAGATGCTCAATAAATATTTGTTGAAAGAAAGAAAGGAAACATGATTTCTAAGGTCTGATCCAAACTTGGGACCTTGTGATTCCCAAAGCCTCCCCTCACCATCCCAGTCCTCTTAGTTTTCTCTCTTCTCTGGACTGTGGGAACAATTATATTATGAACCACTAATTTGAAAGGTCATGATTATGTATTATATTGTCTTTTGTTGTTCCATAACTAACATGTTATTAGTATGTACGCTTATATGATGTGATGAAAACGTCACTTTATCTTGTTGATCATCCTCCTCCAAATCTACAACCCCAGTCTAATCAAGAGAAAAACCTCAGAAAAATTCCAATAGAGGAACATCCTATAATACATTTGACCAGTAATCTTTAATAAAACTGTCAGGGTAATGAAAAACAAGGAAGGTCAGAGAACTGTGAATTTTGAATCGATACTCATGTTTCTTTCTTTATTAATAGATTTTATTTCTTAAAACACTTTGAGATTTACAGAAAAACTGAGCAAATAGTACAAAAAGTTTTCATACACCCTGGCACCATCCCCCTATTATTAACATCATATATTAATATGGTATATTTGTTATAATTAATGAATAAATATTGATACATTGTAATTATGTAAAGTCTGTACTTGATTTGCAGTTCCTTAGTTTTACCTAATGCTCTTTTTCTGTTCCAGGATCCTGTCCAGGATACCACATTACATTTAGTTATCATGGCCTTATTATGTCTATATATATAGACATGTATATATGCACAAACTGTATATATAATACAGAAATGGAATTGAAAGGATGCATATGCAAATATTTGTAATGATTATTAGTACATCATGGTTAGTAGATATTTTTCTTTATACCTCATTTGTATCTTTTCAGGTTTTCTAGAATAAATATACACTACTACTGTAATTAGAAAACAAAAGGAATTTTTTTTTTTTTTTAAGAATGCTACCACTAGGACAGCTCTCTCTTTTACAATGGAAGTGTGAACTTTTCTTGCTTTTGATGACCCTGACAGTTTTGAAGAGTACTGGTCAAGTATATTATAGGATGCTTCTCCATTGGAATTTGTCTGCATTTTCTCTTCTCTTTACAGACTGGGGTATTGGTTTAGGGGAGGAAGATATCACATCCGCTAGTGGTAGAGGATCTGCCTGCCAATGCAGGAGATGCTAGGGACACAGTTTCGATCTCTGAGTCTGGAAGATCCCCTAGAGAAGGAATGGCAATCCACTCCTGTATTCTTGCCTGGAAAATTCCATGGCCAGAGGAGCCTGGTGAGCTACAGTCCAAGGGGCCACAAAGAGTTGGACAATGACTGAGCACACAAGGGTACATACTAATGATATGATTTAAAGCTGTTCATGTTGACCTTGGTCACCTGACTGAAGTAATGCTTGTCCAATTTCTATACTGTAAAGTTACCCTCCCCTACACCTTTCCAAAATTGTTTTGGACAAAATTCCCTATGCACAGGCCATACTTAAGCAGTGAGGAATTACACTCTTCCCTTTTAGGGTGGAATCCCTAGTGGTTCAGATGGTAAAGCATCTGCCTGCAATGCAGGAGACCTAGGTTTGATCTCTGGGTCTGGAAGATCCCCTGGAGAAAGGAATGGCAACCTACTCCAGTATTCTTGCCTGGAGAATTCCACAGACAGAGGAGCCTGGTGGGCTACAGTTCACGGGGTGTTAAAGAGTCAGGCACAACTAAATGACTAACACTTTCTTTCTACATAATTTATTTGGAATTCAGTATATGGGATTTTTTTTCTCTCCCATGTATTAATTTGTTCAAATGTTTATTTATATCAGTACAGTATGTTGGATATTTATTTTATACTTTGATGTTACATTCCAATACTACTTTGTTTTATGGTTCCACTTGTTCAGGCTTTGGCTGTTGGAAGCTCTTTCATTTGCCTCTTATGTACCTTTGACAGAGCCCCATCAATGTGTGTGCTGTTTTTTGAGCACTTTCTTACTTTCTGGCACTATAAGATACTTCAATCTCAAATTGTGTATTTCCTGCCCCATTGGAGAAGCTGCATTTCTCCAAGAAGCCCTGGTTCCTTTTGCTGGAGAGTGGTATGAGAAACCAAGATCTGGGTGCTAGGTATCTTCCCTGCTACTGTGATATAATTTCTTTCAAGTTTCTTTTTCATTTGGTGACTTTCTTTATTCCCCATCCTATCTGACTGGTTTTTCAAAAATCATGGTAAGAAGCAGAGTTCAGTTACAGTAGCAGGAAGAACTTTCAATTCATCACAGTTGATTACATGGAAGGGGCTGCCTTGGGTGAAAGTGGACACCATCTCTCTAGGAAAATGCCACCAAAAGCTGAATGACTGACAGTTTACAGAAGATAGTACTGTACTGGGAGGATTATTGAGCTAGAAGACTCCGTGTGTCCTTCCAGTTCTAAGATTCTGTGTTTCCAAGAGGTGCTTAAAAAGATCTGTTTGAGTGTAATATCTATTCTCACACACACACCCCCCACCCCCAACCAATTGACAGCGAGACCGATGACTCATTTCTGTTCCCTCACAGTGTCTGGCACACTACCTTTTTCATGGTAGATGCTTAATAAATGTTTTGCTGAAATGCATTGCATTAGATTGAATTGGGGCCTAGTTGGGTTTGGAAAGTGAGGGAGAGAAAGAATTCAAAGATCATATGTAGATATGCAGCTGATGATAAACATCCGGTTAACTTGGCAAATAGGGAAATTTTATCCAAGTGTCTAGTCACTTTCCTCCTTGTGCTTCAGTTACACCAGTTACACCATGTTGCAATTATCTGTCCTATTGGGACCATGTCTCATCCTGATTTATATTTTCAGTAATACCTTGCCTGGCACCACGCTTTCTCAAAATTCATTGAGTTAAACTGGCTTTTCAGGTCTCTGGGAGAAATGATTTGAGTGTGTTGTACCTCCCTGGTTTCCTGTCCATTCTGCTGTACTTTTTCTCTTTGTTTTTGTCTTTATCAGGTTTTTCCCATTGGATGTCTGAATCCCCAGGCCCCCTCCATCATGGCCAGCCGGGGTGGGGGCCGGGGTTGTGGCCGGGGCCAGTTGACCTTCAACGTGGAGGCTGTGGGCATTGGGAAGGGGGATGCTTTGCCCCCACCCACCCTGCAGCCTTCTCCACTCTTCCCTGTGAGTGTCTGCTCCCCTTTCCCAAGACTCCCTTATGCCCTTGACTGACTGTATGCAATCCTGGATTCCTCCTGGGTCATCAAAATCATCCTCATCTGGTCCCTCCCTGTCTCTGTACTTGCAACTTACATGGGATGTTTTCCAGACTAGGAAGTGTCTGCCCTTACTTTTTATACTCTCTGCTCCCCAGCTTTCAAAATGCTGTGTTGCTCCCAGCATTTGCCTTTGGTCCCCTGCTCAGTGGGAGCATTAGATAGAAGTGTGGGGAGAGGAGAGGCCCTCCCAAATTTATACTCCAGCATTTTCTCTCTGAACTGACCATTGCCTCTGCCTTCTTAGCCCTTGGAGTTCCGCCCAGTGCCTCTGCCCTCTGGAGAGGAAGGGGAATATGTCCTGGCCCTGAAGCAGGAGCTTCGAGGGGCCATGCGGCAGCTCCCCTACTTCATCCGGCCTGCTGTCCCCAAGAGAGGTCAGTTGGATGTTCTGAGTGCCTTTCATGAGTAGTGCCCTGTACTTAGCACCACTGGGGCCCCAGAGAGATCAGAAGAGACACAGAAAGTTCACTGCCTAGCTGGGGAGATCATAGTAATTACCCCTGCATTTGAAATAACATTATGGTATCCATGGTTTGTTTTGAGTTTCACAATAGTCTTGGACAGTAAGAGCTTAAGTATTAAGGTGCCCAGATATAAATGGGGAGCTGTATTAAAATTTTTTAACAATCTGGATATTGCAGGCACTAACCAGTTGGAACGAGCTGAGAAGGGTCTCTGAGAAACCCTACAAATTAAAATATTAGCCCTTTGGTTTGTGGCTCATGGAGAGGTCACGGAGCCAGGAGGGACTGGAGAAGGGGGTATACTTTGGAGGCCTGGGATAGTGGATATTTACCAGTTGGTATGGAAGTATAGTATTTCAGTGTATTGACAACTGGTACTTTCCTCCTAAAGCTCTAGAAGCTGAAGTTCAGACAGTTGAAAGACTTGCCCAAGTTAGTCCCATGAACAAGGAGTAGAGGGAAGACAAAAACCCTATTTTCTTGCTCTAGTATGCTTTCCACTGTAACGCACTCCCAGTCAATATAGCCATGCCTTGGAGTTAAGAGAGATAGCAAAAACATTGCAATTTGGGGTGGTGAAAAGACAGGTTAAAGGAGTGTTGAAGGTCCCCACTGAAGCTGCCCTCCCTGGGCTCTGGGTTTGGGGTGAGAAAAACGACAATTTCCGAGTTTTGAGAGACCCTCAGGAGGAACCCGAGGCTTCTGATAGGATAAAACTTTGACCCTTAACCTCTGATCCCTCAGATGTGGAGCGTTACTCAGACAAATATCAGATGTCAGGGCCGATTGACAATGCCATCGATTGGAACCCTGGTAGGTGATGGGCCTTTTCATTGACTTATTTTCTTTCAAATGCTTGAGCTGCCTCAAGCCACCACCCTATCCACCCTCCTCTGTCCCCAACCTCCACCCTATTCTGGAGGCTTAGATGTGCTCCAGGGTACTCACAGACTAAAAACCTGGTAAATGTCTCCTACTCCTCTGGAGGTATCCAAATCACAGTTCTTTTCCAAGCAACTTTGACCCAACCCTTTCTGGCCTCACCCTTACCCTGATCCTTATCTCTCCTTTAAAAGAGTCACCATTCATAGGAGACCCCAGGCAGAGTCTGGCTGATTTTTACATTCCTGCTGTTTCTAGATTGGCGACGTCTGCCCCGGGAGCTAAAGATCCGTGTGCGGAAGCTACAGAAGGAACGTGAGTGTATCTGAAAAAGGAGGGAAAGTAGAGATTTCCTTCATCAACTGGAGGGCCAAGGCTGTGGGTGGTCTTGCCTGTTCTCCCGATGCCTACCTACCCCATCTACCCAGTATGGCTGCTGGGTGCCCTGGTGGCCACGTGAGGGCAGCAAAGTGACATGGTCTACGCAAGAGGGTGACAAAGCTAAGAAGTTTGCTCTCTCATGGTTCACCTTGTGATCCTCTCACCAGGGACCACCATTATACTCCCCAAGAGACCCCTTAAGACCACAGAAGATAAGGAGGAAACAATACAGAAACTAGAGGTAAGGAAGAAATGTGAATAGAGGCCATCTGGGCCCCAGATTCATTCCTCTGCTTTGGCCCATGGGTGCCTCAGTTCTTCCCGTCTGTAAGTTGAGTCTGGTTTCTCTTCCTGTTCATCCTCACATAAGACTCTGGAGAAGAAGGAGGAAGAAGTGACTTCAGAGGAAGATGAGGAGAAAGAAGAAGAAGAAGAGAAGGAAGAGGAAGAAGAAGAGGAGTATGATGAAGAAGAACATGAAGAGGTAAAGGGAGCCACCTTTCATTCTCAGACCCCGTCTTTTCCACTCATAAGCTCTAGGGATCTCAACTCTGTCCACCAGGGATGTTCTCTTCAGAAGGTTGGAGAGCCAAAGGAGATACTGCCCACAAAGGATAGTACCCTCCACTTTATCTGTCCTTAGGCTCTTCTTAAGAGTGAACCACAGCTTGAAGGGACCTCCCAAGCCTGGAGTGCTGTGATTGTGAGGGGAGGAGACTAGTACCTAGGGAGAGAGGAGAACGCTGAAAGCATGCCTGACCTAACCTTTCTTCCTCCCTTCCTTTTTTTCTATTTCAGGAAACTGATTACATCATGTCATATTTTGACAATGGGGAGGACTTTGGGGGTGACAGTGATGACAATATGGATGAGGCTATATACTGAAGACGGACTCTAAACAATACTCTGGACCTTCATATCTTTCTTGATTTAGGACACAGAGAGTAACTGTCCCCTGTTATTTCGTTTTGTGGACAAGCAAATCCTTTGCTTAGAATTCAGCTAACCTGTTTGGTCCCTGGAGACAGAAATGGAGAGTGACAGTAGATAGCTCTCTTTTCTGCCTTTACCCTCCCTCTCTCCTGTGGTGTGGTATCACCTCTGATATCTTGGGGGAAAGGGCAAAGGACCAGTGTCTCAGTTGTATGAAAGGAAAAAAGGAGGGTCAAAACAAGGACTGGAGTTGTTAGTGCTGAGGTTTCTGTACACATACTCCTAACTATTTTTTATAGTTCTTTCTGGGTGTGAGCGGTTAAGAGGAATAAGGGCAGTTTTACAGTTTCAATAAAATGATTTTATCTGTCTCTCTGTCCAGGGTGAGGCCTAGTTGGGAGAAGGCTGGAGGAATGAAGGGGATGACTAGTAAACACTTCTTCTCTCCTTACCTGTTGAGAGTCCAGTGTAACACACTGGGCATTACAGCCTTCCTGTTCTTTGCCCCTTCCCTCCTACCCCCATGGTGGGACACCTACTCCCAACCTAGCTCTGCCAAGGAACATTCAGGAACTCATTTGCAGGGCTCCGCGGAGTGAGCTGTAGACAGCCCATGCCCTGAAGACCAGCTGGCTTCTGAGCTTCTGGTCCTCAGGCAATGGGGACGTGATTGTCTCTGTTCACATGTGTTCATGGGACACAGGCTCTCACATTCCCACACTTGACCTTGATCTTGTCCTTGTTTACAAGGAATGATTATTTTTGTGGAGTCAAGAAAACCAAGTGTGGGGAGGGAGGAGGTGCTGATTGTTCTTTAGCACACTCACTCACCCTCTTCCAGACCCTGGGAACCTCACTTTGAAGGGTGTGTTGTGAAGAGGGAGCCCAATGAATATCTTATTCTCCACTTGCAGAAGCTGCTGTGTGGCTGAGTTGCAGTTTCTCTTCTGTGGAATTAGCCTTTCTCTCTCCCTTGGTGTGGAGGGGGATGGGGTAGGCAGTACTGCTTTACAGGAAGTAAGGAGGGTGCGGAGGAAGGGAGTGACTTAGGGACACTCAGCTCTAAGAGGTGCTTTCTCCCCCACGCAGTCCTCCCGTTGGGTGAGATCACTTCCCTAGGCTCTGATTGGCTTCCGAGGAAGCCTTGGCCGTACTGATTGGTTCCAGCCACTTGACATGCAACAGTCACGGGCAAGCTGCGTGTCCAGAATAGGGACTGGATAAGGAGGCAGCCACAGAGAGCTGTGGATGCTGTCATAGCGACCTTACTAAACATTTGAAAGCCATAAAGATGGGAGGCGGGAGAAGCTTCAAGAAAGTCCCCAGCCATATTTAGGCAGGCAGATTGAATTCCCTGTGGCATCGAGTGACAGAGACTGGCAATCTACTGTTAGATATTTTTGACCCCATTGTAAAGAAGGAACAGGGGCTGTGAGTCCATTGAGGGAAGGCACCTTAAAAGCCAGGTTTGGGTGTGGTAGTGTTAGGTAGTCAGTGTGATAGGAAGAAGCAGCCAGGAGAACAGAGAAGGAAACTGAAATAGAGACAGAACATTCCAGAGTTATTGAGCAATTTGTGATGACTGATGTGTTTCCTTTTCTAGTTCTCTGAGGTATTGTGTGAGTGTGTTGGAGGGAGGGGCCAAGGGGCTTGTCTCAGGGGTTTTCTATAGACATAGCCTATGATTGTGGCTAGGAAGAAATCAGCAAGAAACAAAAATAAAAGACCCTGAAAAAAATCTCCTTTTGCCTAACTCACCTGCACATACACACACACCAGACCTTATCTGGTTAACTAGATCTGTGTCTATGTAGGGGGCACAGCTGGCCTCCTTAATCCCACCTAATGCCAGCATGTGTACTTAAAAAAGAGTGGGAACAAAGAAGAATTCTAGATAAGAGACTGAACACACACCTCTGCCTGCCTCTTTACACGTACATCCTTTTCCCATGAAATAGGGGAAAGGATAAAGGTTAAGAGTGGCCTCTGGGGAATCTGTTGTACTGCCTCAGAGACCAAGTGTCAAGAGAGATCAGTCCATTCTTGGACTGTTTCCTATCTGGCCTGTCCTTCCTGGCAGGTGACCTTGCCGAACAAAACCAGAGACAAGGGACCCAGCAGCTTCCCCAGATTCCGGAACAGTTCCAGGAATGAGCTAGACTGTTTCCATTGACCTTTCCCCTACTTTCCATAGGCTCTGTTGGGCAGGCTGAAGCTGAAGCCTAGGGCTCAGTACATGGCATGGGTACTGCTAGTCCTCTGGAGGACCATCTGAAAGGGCTGAGGTCAAGACACTGCTTACAAACACTTAGAGAGGCCCCACACTGTTCTCACTCAGCCCTGTATTACGTGTTTGCTAGTGCTGAACAGATTGTTACCATGCCCATGACCGAGGCCGCTCTGGTCCCAGGCAGGGTAGATTCTTAGGCAAGAATCGTATCCTTCCCTACCCTATGTGCCATAGCCTATTGTTCCCCTCCCGCCTTGGGCTGGAAACTTGAGATTGGGTCTGCAGGTTTGGGCTCAGGGACTCAAGTGATTTGAAGGAGTGCTAAATGGGAGATGCAACATGCAGTTTAGAAGATAGGGAGTGGAAACTGAAGAAAATTAGAGGGTCAAATATTGGATGCCCAGAACACCCATGGTTTGGTGAGAAAAGGACACATATTTTCCTCAATTCATTTTTTAAAGATTTTTAAAAATATGGACCATTTTTTAAAAGTCTTTATTGAATTTGTTACAATATAACTTCTGTTTTATTTTTTGGCCACCAGGCATCTGAGATCTTAGCTCCCCAATCAGGGATCAAATCCAGCCCCCACTCCCACCCCCACATTGGAAGGAGGAGTCTTAACCACTGGCCTGCCAGGGAAGTCCCCTCAATTCATTTTTATTGCTGTTGAACTTTGAAAGGAAGGAAGGGTGACTTGTAGGCGTAGGCTAGTTTGAGAACTAAGCCAAGGGGGAAGCTGCCATTTCAACTGGGCAAAGCACTGATTTGTGGTCCTAGTTTCACCATTTCATAGCTTTGTGCCCTTGGGGAAGTCATATCCAGTCTACGAGTCTCAAATTCTTCATGTATGAAGCAGAATTTAGACATCCACAAGGAATCTTTCAAGTCGTTGTTGATCTGCTGCAAGAATCCAAATGGTCCTGAGAACAAAGGTGAAGATGTGTCCAACTTTTGCTGAACTCATTCCATCCGCTGGGTTTCCCCACCTCATTTTCAGCTGGACATGCTAACGATATCTCAGGCATCTAGCAGTCCTTTCCAAGAAACTGCTTCAGCCCAAGTTAACTAGCAAGGAAGAAGAGTTCAAGGTCACAACCACCAAGCCAGGACTCAAGGAGGCTCCTAGGGAATTTCTGACTGAGGAAGGGGCCTATGGGGCAGATCTCCTCTATCCTTCTCACATAGCATGTCTGGCCAGAGGATAAAGAGGAGAAATGAGCTAAACAGAAATAGCTCCCTTGGCTAATACAGCCAGAACAGTGGTGACCTCTTCTTCACTGACCTTTCCCCTACTGAGACTTACTATTTCCCCAAGATCATTTGGGACTAGAAAGCTGGAAATAAGTTCTAGTTTCCTAGAATCACCTCAAAAAGGGCTTTGCCTTATCCCCAACAGGACTTAATTTGCCATTTTGTATTCTGGAGGGAAAGGAGGGACTCTAATGGGAGTCAGTGGAAAGAGAGTGATCCAACCCTAACTATAGGACCTGAGAGGCTAAGTGTGAACAGCCTGGGCACCAAGACTTTTGGGAAAGGAATCCAGGGATTCGTCAACCCAGTCCTGACCAATGCAGGGGGTGGTGTGCCCCAACGACCTCTGACTCTGGGACTGTTCTCCATTCTCAAACTTCTCCTCCTCCTGGGATTCTCAGCTGTGGACTCGGGGTTCCCAAAACTTGGACCCCTGCCTCTCCTTGAATCTTCTCCACCCTGTAATTCCATTTCCCTTAGTATAAAATGGACAAGGAGAAATATCCAATTGTGTCTCTAACATTCTCTGTTACACTCAGGGTGGCACTAATAGTGGACTTTCTTGGTGGCTCAGAAGTACAGAATCTGTCTGCCAACACAGGAGACATGGGTTCAATCCCTGGGTCTAGAAGATCCCCTGGAGAAGGAAGTGGCAACCCACTCCAGTGTTCTTACATGGGAGATCCCATGGACAGAGGAGCCTAGTGGACTACAGTCCATGGGTTCGCAAAGAGGTGGACACGACTTAATGACTAAAACACCGCCACGACAGCATCAATAGTGCTGGAACAGGAGGGAGGTTAGACCTGTCTTTGCCACCAAAGGAGTGGAGGAAACAAACTTAAGCTGAGTCAGGGACACAGATCTGGGGTATTTCCTATCTTGGAAAGAATAGATGACATCCCATGTAGATGGGGAAAGGAGTCCCAGTGCTCATCCTCCTTATATTCTTCTGTGGCCAGAGAAACAGACATACTGGAGAAGAAATTCCTACTTCTAAGGAGGTCAAGGTAACTCTTTGCCTCATTTTTTCTTGGGCAGGGGCGGTAAGAGGATGTGAAACAAAGATGGGCTCAGTGAGAGAAAGGACAAATGCTGACTAGTCCTTTTCTCAGCCCTCCGCTTCCTGTCTGCAAGCCTCTTCCTTGGCCCCTGGACAATGATTCCTGTCTGACCATACTTGGCTGGTCTTGGCCCTTCACCTTTCCCATACTTGGCCCCTGTTTTGACACTAGCTTTTCACCCTGAGCCACCACTCTTAACACCTGTCCAGAGCTATCAGGGGTGTCTACAAACTTCTCAGGAGCTGGGCTGGGCTAGGTCAGGAGGGGTGGCTAAGAGCCAGAAAGCAAGCTTGTCCCTCCAACTCATTGTCTTTCAGATTCCTTTCCTTTTCTGACTCTCTAGCCACATCTTTCTTTCCATGTCTCTTTTTGCCTCATGTCTTTAGCATCGTGCTACTGAAATTAGTTTACCAACGGGTGATATGGTGAATATATTTGGAGCCGCAGGCTACACATGGCACATCTTCCAGAATGTCAATTTTACTTTTAAGATTTGGTAGGGGAAGATACACTATTCTTATACGAGAACTACACAAATATATTCTGCTGTATAAGTCAAAACATGTAGTTTTTAAACATAAAACAGATACTTCAAAGACATTTCTGGCTTGTGACAGGTTACTTTGGATGGTTCTGGAACCCTGGGGCGGGAAATTCAGTCTCCGCAATCTTAGGGGTCCTTCAGAGGAAATACTAGGGAAGCTCTACTTAGACCAGAGGTAACAACCTAAGACAAACCTTAACACCAGACAAAGGTATAAAGAAGTGAAGCAGGTGAGTGGAATGCAATAGGGGATGGCGAGAACTGATAAATGTGAGTCTGCTTAACTCTTAGCTCCAGCGGGTTGATGCCACCAAGGAGTGTGGGCTCAGTGTTACCAAAGATGGTTACTTTCTAGGGGGAGCCAGACAGTGGGGTTTACTGACATCTGATTGTTTAGTGTTTGTGCTGTACTTAGTCACTCAGTTGTGTCCCGTCTCTTTGCGACCCCATGAACTGTAGCCCGCCAGGCTCCTCTGTCCCTGGGGATTCTCCAGGCAAGAATACTGGAGTGGGTTGCCATGCCCTCCTCCTGGGTATTTAAAATGTTTACAACCAATTCAAATATTGATATTTAAGAAAAAACTGTAGAAATGTCTAAATACCTGCAAGCTGATTCCACCCATGGGCCCATGGTTTGCTGCCTCTGACCTCTACCAACATTTCTTCTACTTTCCAAAGGTATGTGTGGCCCAAACCTGGCCTTCCAAGACCTCCAATTCTCTTCCCAAGAGTCGGGGGCAGTAAGGTTCATGAGGCTGCAGGAGAGAATGGAGTTCTCCTGCAGGACAACTCGGGAAATATAACTAAAGAGAAGCCTTTGGGTACCAGTGGCAGGCAACATTTTCTCCAGCAAAAGCAAAGGAGCCATTAGTCAGCACCCAACCACCTTTCCCCTGATATTCAGGGATATGGAGCTGAAAACATATTGGGGTCTGAAACAGAAATCAAAGATTCCTCAGAGTTGGAAGATGAGGCAAGCACGAAAGATGAAACAGAGAAATGGGAGAACAGGAGACGAAGGAAAGAAGGAAACTGTGAGCCTGGATAGGCGAAGGAGGAAGTTGGAATATAGACAGGTGGACTGGAGAGGGAGGGGTCTTTAGCCACAGAACCATACAAGGAAAACACAGTTCTCACAGTCATGAACACCACCTCTCCTCCCAGCAACTGAAATCCTTCCTCTGTCCATCTATCCAAGAGGATAAAAATATCTGAGCTGGGTACCCAGCCAGACATTTCCAAGAACCTGTTTACTGACTGTTTGATTGACTTGGAGAGATGGTCAGCAGCTCCATCACTCAGCGAGGAATAAGAATGGACCTGAGTGACATCTCAGGACCCAAAGCCTGTGGGTTTCACAATTCCATCCCCGTGTTCTGCCTCTCCTCCTCCTTCTCCCATCACTTTACTACCTGAAGACAACCAACCGATTGGTAGTCAGAAAAACTCCAGCCTTCAGAGCCTGTCCATTCTTTTCTCCATACATAACAGGATCCCTAGGGGACACAGCAGAGTCACACCAAGGGAAGGGTCAAGACAAGACAGGAATAGCCTAAATTGGCTAAATTGAGCTTCATCAGTGGAGCTCACCTCCACTGGTTTTTGTGCTACTCAGTCATGCATTTACCTTAGGGAAGTAAATCAAATGAGATGCAATGCCTTCAAATGAGGAGTCTGAGAGTTCTTCGTAGTGTCACATTGTATATCCATCACTCTGTTTCTCAGTTTATCACTTCAAGTGGGAATCTTTCCCCTGAAATTGTGTACTGAAAAGATTGTTGTTGTTTAGTTACTGAGTCGTGTCCAACTCTGGCAACCCCACAGTACTGAAAAGTTGAGAGCTCAATTAACTAATTTCCAGAAGGTGGAGTAACTCCAGAGGCCTGTGCAGCACACAGGAGTGTGAAAGAACTATACCATGGGAGTGTGCAGAGGGCCTGTCCTGGCCCAATGGTTGGGAGCCCCAATAACAGGCCACCTCTCTCCCACCACAAAATTAACTAAGGTGGAGTCAGCTTCTGTACCCTGACCTCTTCGCAGACTCCTTTGTTCCCCCAACACGGGAAGGGAATTCAGAGGAACAGAGTAGTGTTATTTATGACAGGTCAGAGGAAGACAGTTCTGGGGACATGCCTGGGACTGAGCTCATCAAGGTGGTTGGTGGTGGTGAATATGCCTTTGCAATATTTTAGATAATAAGCACTTGTTTCCAGACTTTCCTGGTGGCACAGTAGATAGGAATCCACCTGCCAATGCAGGGGACATAGGTTTGATCTCTGGTACAGGAAGATCCCACATCTTCCTTAGGACAACTAAGCCTGTTTGCCACAACCACTGAACCCAAACTCTAGAGCCCACAAGCTGAAACTATGGAAGTCCGTGCGCCTACAGCTCATGCTCTGCAACAAGAGAAGCCACCACAATGAGAAGCCCGTGCACACCAGAGCTAGAGAGTAGGCCCTGCTCTCGTTAATTAGAGAAAGCCCATGGGAAGAATGAAGATCCAGCACAGCCAAAAATAAATAAATATTTAAAATTTTAAAAAAGCACTTGTTTGCCATTGTTGAAACACTTCCCACAGATTTTTTAAATCATTACAGCAATCTTCTAAGGTAGGTAGTATTATTATTTTCCATTTTACAGATAAACTGTAGCACAGGTTAAACAAATTGCAAGGTCATACAGTTTGTTAAGTGGTGGAAGTAGGGTTTGAATTTAGATAGCTTGACTCCAGGGTACATGTGCTTAATTACCACTCTATACTGTTTCTCCTTAATAGTATAAGAAGGCTGATCTTGAACTTCTTCTAGGCTATAGACTCACCTATTGGGCCAGGACCGCAGCCCTGGATTTGTAGCTATCTTTGAGAGGGAGTTTTTCAGCTTAGGAAATGGAAGTGGATATAGGGACAGAACAGAGACTGAATTCCAGAACTACTGAGTTCAGGATGCTTGAGACAAGGGTTGGGCCACTGGAGGGTCGGCAAAACATTTTCCTTATCCATCTTACGCATTCTGTCACCTAGAGATAGTCCATGGAAGGAATTCTAGGAAAAGGTTTATATAGTAGTGAAGAAACTGGGCAAAAGTCACTTCTTCAGCCCAGTTCATAACCTTTAGCTCTTATGTGATTTTTTTTTTTTATTGACCAGGTGCTTGGGCAGATCTTCTCCATACTTTTCTCTCCCAAATTATATCTTTGTTTATTCCAGTCTGTTCAGAGTTATCAGGGTGGTCCAGGATCCTGATTGTAGAAGTATCAGTTATTTTCTTATTAATTTTACTTTCTCTGGCTATTTTCTCTCTTTAGATAGTTTTATTTCTGTCTTCTTTTAGATCTTCCTATACCAGGTTAGACCTAATGAATAAATGGTACTAAGAACTGGATCTCCTTTAATGGGTGTATGTGTAAGTTATAGTTCCTTAAAAATTAATAGACATATGAGAAGAGTATGGGAAAGGAAGACCCAAAATATCGACCCACTTAAATGGAGAAGCAGCAGGGCTAGGACCCAAGGAAGACTCCTTAAGTGGGCCCATATGTAGATGTCCTGAGGTGAGGTAGGAGTTGTGTATCAAAGCCAAAAGGAAGTGCAGTAGAGACTTTTGTGCTTTTAAGGGAGGGATGTATTTCCTCTGGGTGAACAGCTATAGCTGCCTACTTCCTTCCTCAGATTTTTCTGTGCTGTTCAACAGTCACTAGTCACATGGAACTAACTAAATTTAAAACAAAAATAAAAATTCAGTTTGTCAGTAAAAGCAGCCACACATTTCAGAGCTCACTTGTCACGTGTGAACAGTGCCTACTGTATTAGTGCAAATGTACCACCTTTCCATCATTACAGTTCTGTTGGACTGTACTGGATTTGAGCTATTAGGCTCCTGCTATCAGGAGGGGGTGCATATGTTCTGGCCCTTCAAGGCTCAAGTCTCTATGAGAACTTGGCTGTAAGTTATCTACCCTCTCCATCCCCTTCTTGTATCACACTCCAGTAGCCAGGCTGTGTACACAATCAACCAGAGTTGTGTGCTCCATGGTCTCCCCTTCTCTTTGTCCTGCCCTCTGGCCAGCTCTTGTCCTTGCCCCACCCCTCCAGTCCCTGGAAAACAAGCTCCAGAAAAACTTTTCCATCAACTTTCACCTGGTTTCAAATCGTCATAGATTTGAAAGAGGGAGGAGGCCATAAATTCTTGAATAGGTAAGAAATGGAGGAGGCAAAGGTGAGAGTGAAGGTGACTATGGCACCAGAACTAGACCCTGATGCCTTGATAAAGAAAAAACAGGAGGTGCAAAAGAGCTACTGAGAATGAAAGCTAGACACAAAAACTGAACTGGAAAATAATCTTTTCAATCTTTCTGTTCAATTTACATTGATTTTATGACCGCTGTTGGCTCAGACGGTAAAGAATCTGCCTGCAATGCTGAGACCCAGGTTTGATCCCTGGGTCAGGAAGGGCTACCCACTCCAATATTCTTGCCTGTAGAATTCCAGAGGACCCTGGTGGGCTACAGCCATGGGATTGTAAAGAGTCAGACACAACTGAACTAACACTTTCATTTTTAATGAACTTTCAGGAGTCTGAAGTTGGGAATTACTATGTGGAGATCCACAGAAAAGCCAACCCCCCTCTCCCAATAAAGGCTAAGACTAGATTTGTCTGCAGAAGTTTAAATGCAACAGAAATCAGAAAGTATGTTAATCTCTGCCATCTTGGGGTTTTATCACTGTAAGTCACTCCTTTAGGAATAATAATCATTTCAATTAGAGGTGGAGTTGTGGTATCAATCTGTTATCACTCTACAAAGAAGTAACAGGAACTGTAAAGCATACTGTAAGGATGAAGGTGGATTTGAATGTTCAGCAAACATTTACTGAGTTATGATCATGTGCCTGGATAGGAATTGTTGTAGGAGATGCAGCGATTAAAAAAGAAAATGGTAGCTGTCTTCAAAAAACTTGATATTCCTAACTGTAAAAACTCTTTAGTCCTGTATTGTCTTCCTACATATAAACCACGTTTTTACTGGCAAGAAACTATGATGAAACCAAAATAAGAAATCAAAGTACCGTAACACTTTCCTCCCAAATGCCCTTACAAAATTCATTTCTCTGTATTTCAGGAGCTCATTAAAGCAAAAGAAGCCTTATATACTCCAAAGTTGAAGAAGTTTAGTAATGATTAACTAAAGATGTAGAAAACTAGCTTAGACCACCAAAAGACCCCACTATTCACTGAAGTTCTTCAGTGAATTGGACAAAAGACAAGACAATGTAGCTCAAATTCCTTCTCTCCTGACCCTCCTAACCCCCATGCTGACTATAGTCCTTAGGATCAATAAGAAATGGTTTCTCCACGTATATTATCTAAGGTGAAACAGTTCACCAGCCCAGGTTGGGTGCATGAGACAAGTGCTCGGGCCTGGTGCACTGGGAAGACCCAGAGGGATTGGGTGGAGAGGGAGGTGGGAGGGGGGACCGGGATGGGGAATACATGTAAAAAAAAAAAAAAAAAAGATACACTATGGTTGTGATAAAAAAAAAAAAAAAAAAAGAAATGGTTTCTCTATAGGGTTTTCAACAATCTGAGTTGTGAATTAAGGGGGAAAGCTCCTTTAGGCACATTTTTTTTCTAATAAGTTCAATATTATCTCACAGACAAGAAGAGAAACTTTTTTTGCCATTAAAAAAAACTTTATTTTTATTTTATTTTTTTACAAAGAATACCCCCACCTGGGGTGAAAAATATATCTGGTTAAGTACAAAATATAGTTTTTCTCATACAAAAAGATACACAATTAAAAAACAAAAAATGAAACCACCTTCAGCCCACATACTTTTCCAGAAAAGGGTAGATAGAGCTCAGAGCTCTGACACAGGACAGTGAACAAAGTGCTAAGGCGGAGAGTGACTGACCAAGTGCTAAAAACTGCAGTTGAGACGGGCTGTCAACAACCCTGTCTCCTAACACTGGGCAGGAAGTGAGCCCTTGGGGCTTCTGAAGATCTGCCTTCTGATTTCTCATGGCAACATCTGGATGCTCTGATCACAGTGTTGGGGCATTTTATCTAGGGTTTCTCCTTGGGTTTGGAGAAGTCACAGTGGGCAAGGCTGATAGCAGCAACCCTTCTCATGTAATCAGTGTCAGAACTGCAGAATTCTGAACACTGGACAAAGTCTCAAAAGCAGTAACACTTTTTTTTCCCTGTCATTGTGCTTACCCCTAGAGACATAGTAGACCAGTTTTAACTTCCATCTGAGAAAGGAAAAAACCCCAAATTTGACACAAACTAAAGTGCTAAGGACATTGCCTCAGAATCAATTCCAAGGAGTCACATGAAAAAAAAAAAAAAACATTCTCCCACATAAAAATGTTTGCCAATAGGAGAACACAGTGCAATAGGCTCTAAAAATGGCTTTTAAGACCTCTGGTGGGGCACAGTTACTACTGCTTTATAACTGATTAAAACTACTTTCTAAACAAAGAAACTTAAGAGTTCCTCCCCTTTAATTCACAGGGGAAGCTTGCTCCAAAGTCCAAACCCAATCAATTCTGGAGGGCTTTTCTTTTTTTTCTGTAAGTGTACAAACAATGGGGAACAATGGTTTTAAGAACATCGTTTTCCCAAAGTTTTGGCCATGACCATTTTTTCTTTTCACTTTCTTAGTTTTTTAAATGGGCTCTCCTCCACATGGCAGAGGTTCAAGATCTATTGTTATAACAATATCTATTACATAATCCCCTCCATTCAACCATGGGAACACCATTCCAGGATGCCATTTCTACCCCTTACTCAAAATTACTGAAAATGCCTCAATTTTCAAAGAGATTCAAGAAAATGGGATGGGCCTTAGTTTTTTTTCTAATGTGTTTTTAAACCCATCTAGCAAAAAACTCTACCACATCATCTCGCTGGCTGAAGATGAATGCGCACCCTTTAAGGCCCAGGAGATTGCCTGCAGATCACCTCCTATACTGGAGAGTCAGAGGCTGGGGTGGACCTGTACCCCACTGTGGAGACTGTTGAGTCTCTAAAAAATTAAAGAGTCCAGGAAGAGAGCTAAAAAGAAACAGGTAGGTACAACTGCTTCTTTTCTTCCACATGCTCACTGCACATTGTTGTTCAGGATGCAGGGATCAACCTGGGAGGAAGAGAAGAAAAAGGGTATTTTAGTTTGGGTAAGGAAAAAAACAACAATCCAGTCTGGCAATCCCAAGAAGTTAACTTCCTATAAAAGGCTTAGCACAAATGTGGTAAATGACAATTCTCACCTCAGAATAAGTAGGTGGTGGCATGAACCTGAACTCCGGAGCATACATAAAAATAGGGCTGTCTTGAGAACCATCTGTGTCATCTAGCAGAGGAGTAGTGGGGCTCTCCAACCGGTGATCTTCAGCAATGCTATCCATATAGCAAGGAGGAGCTAGAGAGAGAAAGCATGGAGATAAGAAGCCCAGCCAAGAAAAGCCTAACCATCAATTTTACAAACACACCCAGGCCAGAGGGGAAAAAATGATATTAGGTGTCTGGCTCACCTTCTGGGGTATCTGGGATGTTCAGGTCTACCCAACTCATCTCAGAGCTGGTTTGGCTGGCCATGCTGGACGTCCGGCTGCTGAGGCCTGACCTGCTTCCAATAACCAGAGGCAGGTCAAGAATGACTTTCTTGGAGCCAGGGACGCTAACATAGATCTAGAAAGGAAGACATCAGTTTTTCAGGCTATAAATCTGGAGAAACACCACTATCATTTTGACGAATGAACAATTTCTCTCTCCAACCCCATCCACCCACTCACCAGTAAGGAGTATTCAACTCGCAGGATATTGCAGCCCAAGATAGAAGGCCTGATCTTCTGCACCCGAAGGCTCTTGCCACGCCATGATGCACAGGTTCCGGAAATAATATGATTGCCTCTGACTGATGACAACTTCTGCGTCAGCACCTTGGTTTGGCCATTGGCAAGGTAAGTGTGGCGGGCTACAATGGCAGCTTTGGGGATCACGATACGGGAACATGTATTCTCAAAATCAGCATGGATGTTAATCTCATCACCTGGCAATGAGAAAGATGAAAACATGCTCAGAGCAGTCCATGACTTTTAACCTGTCCCTGCCTCCTGCCCTTATTCCCAAACCCACAGTTCCTGTTTTAAGTCTCCCATTTTAAAGCACTAGATTTTTACCTTCACAGAATCCTTTTCTGTCAATTCGTGCAGAGACAGACACCCGCCCATCAGGTATGAACATGCAGGAAACTTTCTTCTCCTTTTTAGCTGACACAGGTTCCTATGTACAATGAAGTGTAAAAAGGCGTTTTGAGAATCTCTAGAGATCCTTTCTCTGCTTCTCTTTCCACTGCTTAAATTAGGTAGTTTTCCCTCCCACCTTGATGACTTAAGGGCTTGATTCCCTGACTGGCTTCACTTTAATGCCCTAAAAACCTGATTATTTATCTCTGAAACCCAGAAGAATAGACTCTTAAAATGAATCTCACCAGTAAATCAGGAGTATTGACATCCACTAGATCCATCACTTCAAAGTTTTTCTTTGTCTCTTGAGTTGGCTGGCTGGGGCGATCAAGAAAAGCCTTCACCCAGTAGTCCACACACCCATATTTTCCTTTGAAAGATGTTCCCAGAGGCCTTTATCAAGAAAAAGCAAACAATTTAAAAATGCTCTCCAAGAAGAGTAACTGATCAAAAGTGGGGAAGATTTTTACAGACAGATAAGATCACAGATGCATTTAGTTCATAACCTACCCCTGAGGAAGTTCAAAGCCGAACTTGTATTCATATTTGTTTCCAGGTCTCATGATCACCATCTCATTCTCACCTGAAGGGAGAGAAAAAGGAGTAGTTTCTAGGTTTCTTGTTACACTTAAAATGCATCTGTGCGATAAGGAATTTTTGGGCAGCATGCACGAGTTATTGCAGAACCCCTTATGTTCTTAAAATGAGATTCTGATGCATTCGCTGGGCAAAAAGTTGCAAAGCCCTACAGTGCTGAAAGGCTCAACCTATTATCATCTCAAACAAGAAGCAAAGAACAATCAATTTGTGAAGACATAAAAATCTTTCAATAGCTAAGTCAACATCCCTCAGGATCACCCGCAGAACACAGCACCCTGAGAAGTTGCACAAATCACCCTTTTTTTGGGGTGGGGGGGGGAGTTTGCAAGTTAAAACTAAAGAAAATAAGGAAGCCACACAAAATTCAAACCTCACAACCGAAGCAAGCAACTTAGGATCTACAGTGTGGGCTTTATCTGTATCAATCCGCTTTCAGCCTCCAGCAAACAGCTGGGTCACTCACCAGCTGGTTGGTCGTCCAGGAGAAGCGTGTCTTCGTAGCGTAGGTAGTCCAACGTCTGCTTGCACTGCTGGGATCCCTGCATCCACAGGACTTTGGCCACTCCGCAAGCCAGGATCCTGACAGCTTTGACTCGAGTGACTTCACACACTTCTACTATCACCCGACCAGCCACCTTCTCCCCACTGCCGTACACCTTTTCGGGGTCGTTAAAGACCACCTCGAAAGACTTGATCTTCTTGAACATCACCATGTTGGGCTGGGTTTGCTTAAGAGTTAAAAATGACGACAAAACAAAACTCTCAAAGGATCCTTTGTTAAGTTAAAACTTTTTCACTTTTCACTTCTCTACTAAATTTTTGAAAACACGTCCACCCAAAAATGTAAGCCGCGAATTATATCAAGAGATCGCAAGAGAAAAATAAGCTTTCTTTGCTTTCTTTCCCTCTAACAGCTGGAGGAAAGCTCCAAATCTCAGCGGGAAGGCTTCACGAACTCCACCTCAGAAGACGAAAGGATAGTTTGCAACTGAGAGCCGGAAACTGCTTTATATAGTAGCCCGGCAGGCAGGTCCACGCGAGCGCTGGCCTGGAGGCTCGTGCTGCCCTCGTGCACAGCTCTCCCATTGGCTGCCCGCTCCTTGTTTACCAGGAGCCCCACCAATCAGCGAGGTCGCAGCAGCGCGTGGACACAGTGTGCTCCTGGCGGGGAAAACGGTTGTTGTGCATCGCTGCGGGGCTGGGAGGAGGGGGCGGAGGGGCTATAGGGCGGCTTCCCCTGTGCCCAAGGAAGGAATGCTTCGCTGACTCCAAAATTTAGCCGAGGCCAGTGGTCTTCGAAGGGCGGGTGTGGATGCTTTTGGAGTCGGAGCTATATTTTGAGGTAAAAAGAAAATGTGCTTATGATGGAATTTCGTGCCTAACCTCAGCCAATGTAATTAATTTAGAGGCGACTGTTTATTCCCGGCTCACAAATCGCAAGTCGTGTGAAAAACAATCCCAGAGCTCCAAGAATACTTTAGGATGGGGCGGAGGACAGGGAGTTCAGTCGTAAACTGTTCTGGAAGATCCCCTTTGTCCTTCTCTTGCCCCCCATCGCTCTTAAAAATCAACAAACAACCCCCTGCTACTTCCCGTTCCCCCCATAAAAAATCCCGGCTGTGTGGAAGGAAAAGAGAACTTGTCACAAATTTTTAACCTCTCCAGTGGTCACAGCAAAGCGAATGTGTGGGACTGATTGGCCACCCACCACTCCCTTTCTAGCCCCTTGGGCTGGAGGCTGGGGGCTCTGGTCTGTGCGCCCCTGCCCCTGCGTCCTCCACTCGGTTCTCTCTGTTCTCTGGACCGGTACTGTACGGGCGTGTCCACATCCTGCCTCTTATCCCGTCATCTCTTCAGTCCCTGATCTGCAGAGTTAGGGAACATTTTATTTTTGTTCTCCCAGTTACCTCATTACCTCTTCGTTAAAGTGTGTTCTTTCTCTGAGTATCTCACTCACTCGCTGCTTCTCCAGGAAAGTAATTAAAAAAAAAAAGATGCTTCTCTCTAGTCATCTTTTCCCTGAGTTATTTTAACTCTCTCGTCTTCCTCCCCTTTCCAACTTACTAAATCAAAGGTACACCTCTAAATCTGCTGCTCACACTCCTCACAGCCTTCAAGTTAGTTAAAAGCAGGAAAGTTGTCATTTGTCAGAGAGAAAGTGTCCGGGAAAGAGGGCCGTATTTCTGTTAGAAGGAACCATTCTGCAGTCTTTGAAAAGTTTTTCCCCCTAGACTGTTTAGAAATAAGTAAGAACGGGAAGAAAAGACAAAAGGATCTTTAGCACACTGTATGTTCAAGCTAAAAGAAACCCTGACTCTTCATCCTGTGTTATTTGGCTGTCAGATGGGTTTTTCCCTAGCTGGCCGTGAGGTGCCTTAGGAGCTGACTCCTGAGAAATTTTTCATAGATGCAATAAGAAAGACTTGTATGCACAGATAGAGGAATTCTTTTTCTTTGATTCCTGACTTCCTCCCATGGGTTGGAGAATCAGGAGATTATTACCTCATTTCTTGTGCTAGAAAGAGGAAGACAGTGTTCCCGAGATTGAGATGGGGAAGTAAACAAGAAACATTAGGATATGTAGAGATCCTACCCTCTTAGCAAGAAGATGGCTATTCGTTGCTGTGAAGGATCCTTCTTATTGCTTGCACACCCTAACTGGGTTGACACCCTAAGGCTAACAAGTTACAACCCAACTGCACTATTAAGCAAGCTCAAGAATCAGACATCAAGACTACTGGAAAACACACACCCACAGGACCAACCCCCAGAACAAAAAGGGGAACATGTTGATCCTTAGGGTGTGTGGGTTTGAGGCGGCACCCTGTTTAAGAAAGTTAACCAATAAGGCCTGTGTTGTTTTTAGTTGGTCAACAATATTGGTTGAAGTAGGTAGAGCAGGGAAGGTGAGACTCTCACTAAAGTAATTTTAAAATGTTTAAGCGTAGCTTCTGAGAGAATTTTTAGGTTGATAGATGAGCAAGTGTACGTAAATCTGAAATACCAAAATGTTGACAAATAAGTACATACATAATGACAATATTATTAAACAGTGTGTGATGTGTAACTGCATAAATGTTGAGGGGCAGGGAGGAGAGGTGAGTGTGACAGACCAGGGTGGTATATATTTGGAACATCTTAGAGAAAGGGGAATGCCAATATTTACTTGGGCACAGCTATGGAGTACTGACTTGATTTTTTTTTTTAATCTTAATACCATTTTCTTTTGCTTTAAGTCCCTCTCTTGGGCTCCAGTTTCTTCTTTCTTTCCCATTTTGCAACTTAGTGCAGACCACTTGTTTGTGCTCTTTTGTGCCTGGGTTCCCTTAAATGCCAGAAAACGATTTCACTTTGGCAGCTGCTGCCTACCAGGCCTGTAGCCAAGATATGTTCTGAAATGGAGTTGTCCTGGACAGAGTTGTTTACAACCTTTCACCTCATAACCTGGTATTCTGATAAAAACGTGCCTTCTGATTCTTTTTCTCAGTTCCTGTGCCAAAGAAGAAAAAATCTTACAAACTTCTGTCCTGAAAACAGAGTACAAACATTTGTGGGATGCAAGGGAGGAAAACAGCAGGTCCAGTAAGAAACAGCAAAGGAGGGCTAAATCCAAGAGTTTTGCAGATTAGATCATCTTTACCTGTTCCTTCCCCACCCTCTTCAATCCCAGTATCAATAGGAAGCCAAGCGATGATTATTGTTTGCTTTACAGGAGGTGGTTGAGCAAAGCCAAAGCTTTTAGTGAGAGAAGTGCCCTCTACGCTCAGTTCCGATCAAATACAAAGAGCTGGTTGCATTTCTCTTTTCTTTAACTTATGTTCTGATAAACATTTAGGACTCTAAAGACTCAAGGTTCCTAATAGCCCCCTTTTTTTTCCTTTTAATCACTACTTTCATTTCACTCTGAAAATTTCCCTTTTACTCTTATCTTTCCCATTTTCCTCTAGGGAATATTAATTTAGAGACAAATAAAGGTTTAAAAGAGAGTGTGGCATTTGACGCTGATCAACTTTGGCTATTCCTCCAAGTCACTGAGCACCTGTAATGGACCAGGTCCTTTACATAATTATCTCAGTAATATTTTATTTATAGGTTCATCTGTCACCTTGTTTAGAAGGATTTAAGGTTAGATTATTTCATTTAATTCTCACAGTAACTCTGTGACTCAGAGTTAAGTCAGGCTCAGAGGGTTAAGTAATTTCCCTGCAGTCACTGATTCTGTAAGTAGAGCAAAATCTTGAACCCAGGTCTGTCTGATCTAAAGTAGATACTCTTGGGGACTTCCCTGGCAGCCCAGCCATTACGTCTCCCTGCTTCCACTGCAGGGGGTGTGGGTTTAGACTCTGATCAGGGACTAAGATGCCTTGAGTGTGGTGTGTCCAAAATAAATAAATAAACTAGGTACTCTTTCTAATGTGTTGTCCTGCTTCTCAGTGCCTTAACACATGGTTTCTTGTTTGATCTTCACTGTAAAGGATTTAGGATAAGACTCATAAAATATTAAAGTTAAAGGGGACTCTAGCAGTCATAATTTTTTTAAAGAGAGGTACTTCCTTATTTTAGTTAAGTAGACTTGCTCTAGGACATATAGCTAGTAACTGGTGGAGCCGTTCTCCACTCAATTTAAACTGAGGATTCTTAATACTTAATCTAGAGTCTTGTCTCTAGTTTGTTTTCTGAAGGTTCTTGTTTCTCAGTTTAGCTTTACTTATTAAAAAAAAAAAAAACCACTTCATCTGAACAGATTGCTGGTTGCCTGGGGTAGGGAGTAGGTGAAGTGGGTGAAGGGAGTCAAAAGGTATAAACTTAACAGTTATAAAATAAATGTCATAGAGATGTAATGCACAGCATAGTGACTATAGTTAATAATACTATATTGCCTATGTGAAAGTTGCTAAGAGAGTAGATCTTAAAAGTTCTCATCATGAGAAAAAAATCCTGTAATTATATATGGTGACAGATGTTAACTAGGCTTATTGTGGTAATCATTTTGCAGCATATCTAAATGTCAATCATTAGATTGTACACTTGAAACTAATATAATGTTGTATGTCAAACATACCTCAATTTAAAAAACACTCATCTTGGGGCTTCCCTGGTGGTTCAGTGGTAAAGAATCAGCCTGCCAATGCTGTAGACACGGGTTCGATCCTTGATCTGAGAAGATCCCACATGCTTTGCAGCAACTAAGCCTGTGGGCCACTATTGAGCCTGGGCGCTGGAGCCCAGGAGCTGCAACTACTGAAGTCTGTGTTCTGCAACAAAAGAAGCCACTCCAGTGAGAAGTCTGAGCACTGCAACTAGCAAGTAGCCCAGCTTGCCTCATCTAAAGATAAGCCCCAGCAGTTTAGAAGACCCAGAACAGCCATTAAAAAAAAGAAATCATCTCATCTTGAAGTCCATATTTTATGTTTATTGGTGTCTCTTTTTCTACTATGTTGAGGAAGGAATGAAGATCTGAGAGTTGTCCAACTTCAGGGAAAGATGGAGAGAGGAGGTGAATTAATTTGTTCAAAACCACTGCAGACTCCTTTAAGATATTTCTTAAGGTAGCCTTATGATATAAAATACTTTTTTCCCTTTTCATGCTATCCCCCATATGTTTTCTTTCATTTACTGTCAAATTTCTTAAGAGAATAACTTGGCCAGCTTTCTCTGTTGGCTAAACTTGTCCCTTTGTAGCCTGGCTTCTGCTGTCACTGAAATGATTTTC